TATATATATATATATATATATATATATATATATATATATATATATATATATATATGTATGTATGAATGTATGTATCTATGCATGCATGCATGCATGTATGTATTTAATTTTGTACAACCAATTCCGTTGTGTTTAAGTACAATGATAATAAAGATTATACTACATATGCTACATGATCTTTTTTTATTTTTAGGCAAAGCAAGCAGAAGCAATTAACAAGCGACAAGAAGAGAGAAATAAAGCTTTTATTCCACCTAAAGAAAAGCCTGTTGTAAAACCAAGGAAAAGTAAGATTGGTTTCTTATTATTCTTAATGTTTTATAAAGACCAGTCTTCATATTGAGAGGAAGCATTTTGATCTGTTACTTACAGAATAAATTAATACTTCCAGAGCTCTCTGTTGAGAAGACTGAGGACCAAAATTACAAATGGAAGTTTAATTTTATAAAAATATAATTATATTCTAATCCAAAAAAATACATTGGTTATTTGAAATGCTTATGGAACCAAGAATATCTCTCTTGACATTTACATTTTGAAAATGCCTGAAAAGTTAATTTATAAAATTAAGTTGTGATATGCAAGATCAAGAACTGATTCTCCCCATAAATAGTATTTTAAACAAGATGGGATAAATCAAAGTTCACTGATATTAAAGGACTCTACTCCTTTAACATGGACTCTACCTACCTTTTGTAGACAAAAACAGTTACAAAATTCCTTTGTAAAGTTACCTTCAGATAACTTCTATTCTCCCATAGTTCCTATTCTCTAATATTTGTTTTAAGACCAAGCTTACTATTCAGAGTATTAATAGCTAGATTAATCTAAAATACTATATTAATAGGCCTTGGAAGTTATTTAAGTTTAATTCATAGCTTTGGATCCAAAATCTATATTTTTTTAATTAAAAGCTTACATTGTAAAATAATATCTTTTAGCAACATCTTTGTAGGGCACTTTAATATAACTGGATTCATTAGCTTGGCATCTTAACTGATTTTTTTTGTGCATTTTATGCAACTCATTGAAAAGAATATATTTGTTATTTCTTGGAAATGTTTTCTATAATTCTTGGATAAGGCAATAAGAAAAATATACTCTTTTACTCTGTAGCGACAACTGAAACAAAGATTGATATTGATGCAATTAAAGAAAAGATTAAAAAAGCAAAGAAGAAGAAGCTTGGAGCACTACCAGAAGAAGAAGTTAAATTAAAAATTGCAGCAGGTGAAAAGAAAAAGAAACCATCTTTAAAGCTATAGCACTTCACTTTTTGCAAGGAGGAAAGCTATGAACTCAGCTAATGTAGAAGATGAAAAGGTGCATTCCTGGAAGGAAGAAAGGAAAAATAGCTTTCCAAATTTTTAACCTAAAACTGACATCTTGTTCTGTTGTATTTTAAGCAATATGGGAAATAGTTCCATACATGTGATATCCATTAGAATAAACAATTGACTTTTAGCTGTTGGTGTAAAAGTGGCAGTATACACAGGATTATCATTGAGAAGATTTTATGCAGTATACAAAGACTTACCAACAAACTTGGATTTATTTGTTTTATTGCATGGGACTCTGAAAAATTGTTATCTAGAACATTACAAAAAATAACAGGTTTTCTGTGTGGCAGCTGAAACATTTTCTAAATAAATGTATATTGCTTCATTAATTGATGTTTTTTGTTTACTAGACTTTCATAAACTTTTTGGAAGAGGACTACTTTACATTTTGGTTATATTACTGGAGAATTTTGCTTTCCAAATGCTGGTTGCAGTTGAATGTTGAGTTACTTTTTTCATTCAGATCAACAAAGAGCCAGAGTATGATAAGCAGAGTAGAATGTTACTTTGTGAATGTTGTTATCAATAATAATTTTATATTGAATGTTTACCTGTCCAAGATCTTTTTTCTGCTACTTGTACTTTTTTAATTCCTAAAAAACATTTTGAAAATGTATCTAAAAATCATGGATGTCTTACTATTATTATCAATTCATTGTTTAATACCTTACAAAAGTGCTTATTTTTGTTCCAATTTATTTATACATATCCATTCTGGGATAATGTTGCTTCAGAAAAAAGACAGTTACAAAAGTTATTAAAAATGAAGATGTTCTCAGGACTAGAACAATGATGTAGTAGGAATCACTATCTGGCTTCTTCACCCATAGTTCACCTACAAATAAATTATTTAAATAAGTTATTTACAGTTGCATCTAGGTTAATGACAAATCAATATAAACATAAGAAACTTGTACATTTGGAGCTTTCTAGCTAGATAATTAAAGATTGGTATTTCATTCATGGAAGTTCTGTTTTGAAATGTTTTTTTTTTTAAAAGACCCTAACTTATGACAGGAGAGGAAGAAATGCATGCTAGACCTTTAACTTACCACAAAGTCTGTCTATGCAAGGCTCTTTGTAACATTCACTGCATGTTACTCCTGATTTATATGGCCATCTTGGATAATTCCCACTGCAAAACAACAATTTTGTCAGCTCACTTGATACAGAGACAGGAGAGAAGGTTGAACCTTTCAGGTTAGTGCTTTAACTGAATTATAATCTGGAATAATTTTTAGTAAATACTGGTCATTAAAACCACAGAAAGGTGTTATTAGAAACTAACACAGCCAAATGCAACAGATGTTTTCTTACATTTAAATCAATGAAATGGACCCTTGAAACTGAAGCTGTAAACCTATTTGCCTGTATTCTTTACTATTTCCAAATTATTTCAGTTTGATTTATGAAAGGATATTGAATTAGATTGAATTGTCCAGTTTATATTAAAGGCAAAAATAGTTATTAAATATTCAGTGATAGTGTTAAGTGCAATGAATTCCTTCTTTGTCAGCCTTTATGTTCTACTATTGTCACCTTACATAAAAGGGGGATTGAATACCAACTTTGCTTTAAACATTTCAAACCACTAAATAAGTAATAGTATTTAACTATAGTATTCCCCAGTTTTTATGTGCTCAACACCAATAAATGAATGGACAAATGTTTTTAAAAAATCACTGACCATATCAGTGGCATCTATGATTATCAAAATACTATCCATTAAATGAGTAATTGAGAAATTGACATAGTGGCCTGAACTTGAAGGTAACACATGAACAAAGATTAATAGTTTAAAAAATGCTTTCTTGGAACTTTTTGCTTTATTTTTGCTGTGCTTGTTCTAATTCTATTGCTGATAATATTTGAAGTTTGTGTTTACACAAATTTAATGATTCAGTGAAGTTGGACTCTACAGTTCCCACCCATCTTGAATCTCTCGACTTTATATTTTCCATGATGGCTTTTAATGAGAGATTCTTTTAAGATGTTAGTTTTAGACTACTATATGTTTTGTCCAATACTTATTTTTTTTGTTTCTACATAAAGTTACAAAGGAGTTTATACATTATAACTTGTGTTACTGATCTGCTCTCCAGAGAAGGAAGAAAGCTACTTCCTTTCTTAGCCACATATTTCAAAACTACTAGGAACAAGAAGTGACATAGCATTTATTTTATTTCCACTTTTTTTTGCTGGCAAGTAAGGCCACAGGCTGTGTGAGACTTATCTCTCATATGATCGTATTAAAAGGGTGAATATCAGGTAAAGGTCTCCAAGAAAATATGTCATGGCACTGTAACTACAATAATAAGACACTAAGGCAGGGTCAAGATGTGTAAAATCAGAAAACTTCAGGAGATGTCTTTTTCTCTGTTTCAACTACATTTCTATCTGCCTTTAAAAAACATTCCCAGAGTGCCTTAGTTCCTCACCTCATAATAATATAACAAAAAAACAACAACAGATCCTTAGCAGTAACAAATAATTACATCCACCAAAATAAAATGATGAAGCTCAGCTGAGAATTTAATTATTTGAAAAGCTTATAACATTAACAGAGTTGGAAGGGACCTTGTAGGTCATCTAGTCCAACCCCCCTGCCTAAGCGGGAGAGCCTACACCATTTCTGACAAATGGCAGTCTAATCTCTTCTTGAAAGCCTCCAGTGATGAAGCTTCCACAAACTTCCGAAGGCAAGCTGTTCCATTGGTTAAATGTTCTCACTGTCAGAAAATTTATCCCTATTTCTAGATTGAATCTCTCCTTGTTCAATTTCCATCCATTATTCCCTGTCTGGCCTTTGGGTGCCTTGGAAAATAGCTTGACCCCTTCCTCTCTGTGGCAGCCCCTCAAATATTGGAACACTGCTATCATGTCTGCCATAGTTCTTCTCTTCACTAGACTAGCCATGCCCAGTTCTGCAATCATTCATTGTATGTTTTAGCTTCTAGTCCCCTAATCAATTACAATCAAAAAGATCATCACAGTCAAGGTTTTGTGGGGGTGGGGGGAGAGACCTTGGATTCATCTTCTAGTAGAATTATACAGTTGCTGCTTGCAATGCTTTTGTCCCTGACATTAACCAATCTTACAGGAATGGCCCACTATTGGGCCTTCCATTAGTACAGTGTTTCACAACTTTAAGATGTATGGATAGTGAGTCCCCAGCCAATTAGAAAATATTAACCATACTGGTTTGGAGCTTTTTAAATTGTAGTTTACATATCTGAAGTATGGGGAAGGTTAGCCTAAATTATTTAGGATTTTAAAACTTGTCCCAGCACTTTAAAAGGATTCAGAATATTGATTGATTTTCTCATAATTCAGCCCATTCCATGTAATTAGTTAATCTTGTATGGATAGATCTGGTGCATGATCAACCACATCTAAATTTGCATTCTGGAGATAGAAGTCAACATTTGTTTTTACGGTGGGTTTTAACATTGAGTTATAATTACTCATATCAAAGGAGTAAATGGTCCTGAATATACAAAGGTACCAGTTTCTCAATTCCTAAAGGAGTTAAAGGTTTTCCTTCTAAGATAATTTCTGACAAATTGCAATTTAAAATCCTTACCCAGGTCCATAGTCACAAATGAAGTGTGCCGCATTAGATCCACCAAAGCCTTGTACTATAGGACAAAAGTGAACAGCACAGCCAACTTTGTAAGTTTCTGCCCAAACCATCTGAAAATAAAATAGTAAATTCTGTGCTAATTTATTGTACATGATGGTATTTTTGGTGATAATTTAGTGTATACGGTTAGGCCACAGTTGTGCTAAAAATTGGACACCTATGTAGCATTGTCTTTAACGATGATCACTTATAATGTAAATGCTCAAAGAATTGATTTACAGGCATATTAAATAAATTGCTGAGAGCTAATATATTGAAGTAGGCTTAACAAACTTATATGAAGTACTTTTGCTGCTTTGCCTGACCAAACTCACTGCTGCTGTTTTTTTCAGACAGGATGCATAGACTTAGATTGTGAAATTATTTTGAAAACACCACTTATTTTATTTTTTTCATATCTAAATACTAATAAAACTTTCACAATAAATTTCAGCTTTTTTACATACAGACTGGGATGGGGATAGAGAAGAGTAGTGTGATGAACTTGTAGGTTTATTATGACTAAAAAGTGTTTCCTTAAACATATGGAAAATTGTTTCCATGGTCAGAGATGTGAATAAATGAGATTCAACTTTTATTTGCTCCAAAACTATTTATATACTAAAAACAACTGATGAAAACTTCTCTGTGACTTTATCATTCCATCAAGAATCATTAGAAATGGAGGATTTCTGATTTATTAGCTAGACCCAAAATATTAGAGAAGGAACATTTTCTGTGATTGGGCAAAGCAATATATTGTGTATTTCCTTTTCTTTCAGGTTATTAAATAAAACGGATGCAAGAATAGCTAGTGAGTTGCTGTTAAGCTTGAGATTGGGTTCGATTGCAATGCCACAACAAATGCCAACAGGGATAAGTAAGGCACAAAGCCATTGGACCATGGAAAATGGGGATTATTTTTAAAAAGTTGGGATTGGTGGGGTGGGATTTGTGATGGCTCAACATTTGCCTTTATAGATTGGTCACTTTTTTTTTTGCCTAGGCAATTTTAAAGTACAATTGCAGGCTTGCCAAGTTGAATCAAGCAATTTGCAAGTTGTAACCACATTAGTAATTTTTNTAAATATAATCTTATAATTAATCAAAGTAGTCAAAGAAAGTTTTATGCATACAAAATACTGAAGATTATTTAGAAAAACTTAAACCCGGATAATAGATTTGTAAGCAATAAACAGCAGCAAATGCCAGGAACATTAACAATGGTCTTAAAACAGCAACAGCAATGCAAGATGGATCACATATAATCCGCCTTTCAAATGGTGGATACCATCGTGAATAACCTAGGATAAAAAAAGAGAGGGAGTGTAATGATCCTCTTTTCAAAGTAAATTTAAAATATAAAAGTCAATTGTAATACATACGTAAATTGTTTTCTTTCTCACGTTCAGGATTTCCTGTTTTTTTAAAAACAAACAAGGTTCAGACAAGCCAGTTAAAGCTTTTAGAATATTTTCTTTTCATACATTTTCATTTCTTATATAAATGAATACATTAATAGTAGCAGTGATGCCACATTAATCGGTCTTTAAAATACAAGAAGAGCTATCAATTTTTTTATAATGCAATGTTTACTCCTATTTCTATGAGATACTCATTTGAGCAATGGAAAGAAGCCCCACATAAAAGTTAACACTGCTCTACTAAAATAAAATCTGAAAAGACTGAATATCAAAATGATTTTAATAAACTATAATAGGATCCTTTTTTCTCCTCCTCGAACTACTATTTTATTCAGATTGTACTCACTACAGAGATTGTCTTTACAAGTGTCTCCTTTTGGACAGTTACTGCATGGCTTCCCCTCTTTATAAGGACGTACTCCAGCGTAATTGCCCCTAAAAACAGTGGATAAATATATTCTTAATCATACCAAAAATTATTAAGTAGACAAAGATACGCTGAAAATTTAGCTGAAAATGTTAGCGACCTTCCCTGAAGCTCCCAAGTCAAGATGCCAAAAAGTGCAAAATCTTGAAGAAGTTTTGAGTCACAGTACATCTTACAGAATTTCAATTATTTTTTGTGGTACTGCTAAATTTTCATTATTCTTGAAAATAATCTGATTTTTTTAAAAAAAAATAACAATTAAGTGACTCCATGTTTAATGTTCTTCGGTATAATAGATGCACTTGTGCTCAGATGTCCCAAAAGTGTTTTTTCAGGAGGGAACTGGACTTTGTTTTTCTTTGAAGACGTTTCACTTCTCATTCAAGAAGCTTCCTCAGCTCTGATTGAGGATTTATATGCCTTGCAGATAGCTGATCATTGGAGGTTTATCTGTGTTCTCGGGGTCACCTAAGTAGTGCAAATAGGTGGGTGGGGGCTTCTTGGAACGGCTGAAAAGACTGTTATCCTGGTTCAGCAGTCCATCTGCATTTAAAAGACAAAAGCCACTCTTTGAAGACAACAAAAATATTTTTGACAGAGTACTGGTTTGAAAGAGGGATCAAAGAGGCCATCTATGTCAAAATTGAACAGCAAAGGAGAAGGGATACGACCTCATCTATATCCAATCTACAACAGTCTTTTCAGTCAGAGCGGAAGAAGCTTCTGGGATCAGAAGTGAAATATCTTCAAAGAAAAACAAGAAAGTCCAGTTGCCTCTTGAAAAAGCACCTTTGGGATAGTCATGACCTGGATGACTGAGAAGGTACACAGACATTGGGCCTTGATGTTATAGGGCCAACACATAGTCTAAACAACTGACTGGCAGATTTTCGGCCAGTCATTCCCCTCTCAGCCCAGCCTACCTCACAGGACTGTGGTGGGGAAAATAGAAGAAAGGATGGTGGTGATTTTAAACCCGGAACATCAGATGCCTTTTAACTTTCCATTAATCCTGTAGTTGCTACGTCCCCTTTCTTCCCTCCCTCGCCTCCTTTGCTTTGAAAAGTTGCGGGGGGGGGGACGACAACTTTTTCATCCCTCTGGCTCCAGAGTTGCAGGTTGTCAACCCGTTCTAGAGGTTGCTGGCTCAGTGCAATGTATGAATTAGAGAATGGTACCTGTAACACTACTGCTGCACGAGCTGCGTTAGTCTGCTTCCGGGTGCAATTCAAAGTGTTGGTGATCACCTTTAAAACCCTTATGGAATGTGTCCAGGTTATTTGAGGGGCTGTCTCACCTCACTTCGATTGGCCCGTACCCCTCCTGCAGGCAGAGGAGGCATGCTGCAGGTCCCATCATTATTATTAATCCAGCTGGGTGAGTGCAGGAGGGCCTTCTCTGCTGTTCCTCATGCCATCTGGAATCTCTCCCCTCCTCCCGATATGAGGTTGGCCCCAAACCTCCTATCTTTTTGTAAGGGCCTAAAGACATGGCTTTGCCAGTCAGCTTGGACCCTTGAGTAAGAGATTATAAAATAGGAACTTTTGTTTTTAACAGTAGAAAAAGATTTACAGAATAAAGTTGCAAAATAATTCAAGTAAATTTTGGAATAAAAAAGTACTAATGACATTTATCTTGCCACCTTTTTTCCAGAACATAAATATATTTATCAGATGCATGAAGCTGGACCAGAATTTCTCAATGATTAAATGTGTTATCACATAACTGGACCAAGGGTAGGTTCTGGCAAGCAGTACTACTGGTTTGCTTGTGCGCGTGCTTGATATGCGCAGTGCAAGTAAAATGGTTGTGCGCATGCACAGAACTGAAAAACAAGATGGCGCCACCTGAGGAACTGGTTTGGGGGTGTGACAGGCCTGGGAAGATGGAAGGAAGCAGGAAGTAGCTCCAACTGTTTTTGCCCTCCCCCCGTTTCCCCCGCTTTCATGGATGGTCTAGGAACTAAATATATTTCTAGTTATGTTCTTCTANGTATTAATTATATAATTTCATTATTTTTGAATTTGGCATACAACCAAGCAGATGGTCTTGGGTGATAGAGACATATTTAAGGGGTGGGGGGAAGATTAGTGCTTTGTTTGAAAATGTGCCTACCTGCTCAGAAAAGAGATAAATGAATGTTAGGACAAGAAAAAGGACCTAAAGGGTTAAAGTGTAACTGGTATTTTGACTAGCTATGTCTCCCATAGCAACTATTTTGCCAAAAGTGGGAGCCCTCACAGCTTCCATTTGGAATTGATGTTTGCTATACGCTTTCAAAATTTCCAAAGTTTCAAAAGAAACAAAATTAGTACCTTGTCAGAAAATTAATTTCAGCACAGCAAAATTATCTTAAAAGAACTAGAAATATTTAAGCCAATTCTAAACATGCAGGAAGTATGAATTGTACATTGCTACAAATTATGATGATTTCCTTACCATCCGTTTCATGTTGCTAGCTGGTGGGTCCACCATTGATCGGAATCTATTATGCACTCTGACACATTCTTCAATAAACAGTGCATTTTCAATATCCGGTAAGGTATGTTGGGTATAAAAACAACAGCACACTTGCAGTTTCAGGAATAATAAAATCAGGCCTTTTTCTGTCATTCTGGACTGCTACACAATCAGCCAAAATAGTTTAAACAAAAGCCAACTTATAAACAAGTCCTTAAGGCTATTCCGTTTGACAACTTGTGCTTGGCTTTTACTTCATCTTTCTTTGGTTCCCTTGTTAAGGATAAAAGCACCCGGAAATGAATTTAACAAATAACTTCAAGCTGAAGGGAGAGGCTAGTGATGAGTCATTTTCACCACTGAATTGTTCCTTTTTTTACACTCTCTTATATAATCCTTCCTATCTTGTATGTAAAGCTTAAGTAATGAGATAACATTAACATTAACAAAATTAGGATAGAGTATTGACACTTTTGAAATTTGGTACTGATGGACCAGTTTCCTAGGAATACTATGAATAGCCAATAAAAGCAAAAATAATCATAAAAGAAAAAAGTCCTCATTTGAGGGATAAATGAGTGGGCTCACATTATACTTCAGACAGATTATGTAGACACTTTGAGAAATCCATGTTGCTGGAATGTGTAGAAAAAAAGAAAAAAGATTGAACAGCAGTTAGATGAATGGGCCTGATTAGAATGGCTATGGGTCTACTGTTGAAAGACTTAAAAAGCCAGGTGGGATCAAATCATTCTGGAAAAGTCCTTCTGTGTGATTGATTTAAGAATGAATACAAACACGATGTAAACAATCAATAAAATATTCAATCAGGCAAATATTCATTATGCATCATTGTATGGAACTTCCTTCTTCCACCACATCTCCTTCATATGAAGGTATCAGCTTGCCAAGTTTTGTTACTTTACTGAAAATTAAGAACAAAAACCTTTGCAGTTTGATACCAGAAGTCCTGCCTTTTCACTCCACTCTACATGGAAAAAATGAACTGTTTACATCTCCATCCATCCATATCTTTATTTCATGTTTCTTACCTAATCATATGCCCACCCTCTCAATTCTAGTGAGATTTGAAAATGGCCTTTCACCATTGTCCTTGAAAGACCTTAACCCTAGAAACCATAAAGGGTCCTTGCAAATGAGGAAATAGACCACCTGCAAATTCCAATATTTTCGTGTACTTCCAAAAAGTAAGATTTCTCAGCTTATCTCTTGAATACAGCTTAGACCATGAAATACCATCAATTCAAAGTTCCTTTGGAAATACCAGGAAGGAGAGCAGCGGTGGCACAGTGGTTAGAATGCAGTACTGCAGGCTACTTCTGCTGATTACTGGCTGCCAGCAGTTTAGCAGTTCCGATCCCACCAGGCTCAAAGTTGACTTAGCCTTCCATCCTTCTGAGGTGGGTAAAATGAGGACCCAGATTGTTGAGGGCTATATGCTGTGAAGCACTGTGAAGTGGTATATAAGTCTAAGTGCTATTGCTAAGGGCCCTACTGCCATGATGGTGAACCCATGGCATGGGTGCCATAGGTAGTACGCGGAACTCTCTCTGCAGGCACACAAGCTGTCACCCCAGCCCCAGTTAACCGCACATGCATGCACCCCTCCCGCCAGCCAGCTGATTTTCATGTCTGTCACATATGCGGGAGATAAGTGCGCATGTGTGGAGAGCATGGGGTCACACGTGCATGCGCAGGANCCCATTGACTTTGTCAGAAGGTCACAAAAGTGGATCATATGACCCTAGCATTCTATAACTATCATAAATATGAGTCAGTTGTCAAGTAGCTGAATTTTATCATGTGACTATGAGGATGGTGCAATGGTCATAAGTTGAAAAACAGTCATAAGTCACTCTTTTCAGTGCTGTCACTAAATGAACTATTTTAAGTCGAGGATTACCTGTACTTTGAAACAAAACAATCCTTCTTTAAAGTGTTAACATCAAAATATTGCAATCTGGTTGTATTTCACTTGAATTGGCCAAGGTGTACACCCCTCCCCACTCCTTATCTGTGAGTTTTTGCAGGCTCTTCAGATAATCAGATGTGAGGATCTCTGGAGTTGAGCTTTAGAGAGCAGCTGGGAAGGTTGCTGCTATCGTACCATTCTTGCTCCACAGTATCCTTGCCTGGCCAGTTAAGTTCCATTCCTGGGCCTGGTGATAAGAGTATATGGGATTTTAATCTGCCACCTAATCATGTAGAGTTCGGAATAGTGTCATGGACTTGTTTCTGATGGCCCAACACATACCAGAGGTTGCATTTTAGATCTTTTTTTATTATGTCTTGGGAAACTTGTAACTGATGTGATAGCAAAGGACATTAATATCAATCCATTGCCATAGACATATTACTTTGTTTACTTTCTTGTCTTGTTGGTGCCACTTTTACTACAGGGGGATAGGACCAATTCAATCAGGCTGTTCCAAGCAACTGATGAACATTATGGGGTTCCAAAGGTTTGAGGGTTTTCCAAGGATGTAGGAAGCTTCCAGCTGAGGTCTTGGCTACTGCATACAATGAGCGGCTGTCCTTGGACTGCACTGTCCCTATTTGGCTCCTCCCTGTGTGTTGATCCTAGAGAACATTTTAGTTTATTGAGGGGATTCAGGAGATGAAGGATCAGAAGAGACTGATCAAATATGAGGAAGAGCCATGTTAGGGATTACTTTGTGGATAAAGAACATAGAAACCTCACTATTTATCTGAAAGGGGCTTAGTCTTGGGTGACTTGGGATGGGTTTGAACTGTTGACTCCTGAAGAATTGGACAGGATTCTTTGTGCTGTTAGCTTAGCCACTAATATACTGCATTTGGGGCCCTTCCACATTGTCAAAGCAACCAAGGATATGATCTGTAATTGGGTCCATGCTATGATGCCTGACTGTTTGTGGGAGAGATGGCACACAGTGATATGCCTGCCAGAATCAAAGCCAATTTATTTCCAACTTTCCCTTTTGGTCAGACTGTAGCTGCAGTCTAGGAACTCCAGAACTCTAGAGAAAGTGGATTATTTTGATCCATTTGAGTTGGGTTTCAGGCCAGGATTTGATACTGAGACCGCCTTGATTGTCCTTGTAGACTACTGGCAAATCTGCAATGGGAGTGATGCATCCATTCTTCTGCTCCTTGATTTCTCAGAAGCTTTTGATACCATCATCCATGGTATCCTGGACTGGCTCCAGGAATTGCAAAGGGAGTGGCAGTTTATTTTACAGTTGTTCTCTTGTTTCCTTCAGGGACAATTCTAGTTTATGTTGTTTGGGGAGAAAAGTCATTCTCGAGGCCCCTACTCTGTAAAATACCACAATGTTTAACTTTCTCTCTCTTTCTATTATTTCTATTCAACATCAACATGAACTCACTGTGTGATGTCCTACATCACTTGGGGTTTAGTATCATCAGTATCATGATGGTAATTAAAAGCAATGACTTTGACAAAGATCTGTTAGCCAAAGCCATGAGGAGAAAGACATGGCTTAAATCCAAAATAATGTAATGTATGCACAAATGGCTAAAATAGACATAGCACAACCAGACTTCCAAAATTCTATTATTATAGCCAATCTCAATAAAAGGAGTTGTAGCTTCCTGTGGAGTGGATTCTCAGTCTGGTTTACTTGACAATAAGCAATTATAGTTGCTGACTGAGACTTTTTGATATACTGTCCCAGGACATAAAGGCATGTAGAATGTGGAAGAACTATCTCTGACTCAATCCTACCAAGAGGAAGTGGCTGTGGGTTCTAGGACCACCTGGTTCTGAGTTATTTCATCTCTGACCTTGGATGGGGTTGCACTTCTCCATTCAAATCTAGGGAACTTTAGAAAAGTCTTTGTTCAGCTTCATCTGGTGCAACAGTTGTAGCCTTTCCTCAATTGGAAAGCCCTTCAGTAGCCACTCATGTCTTGACTATTTCAACACTTTATATGGGACTGCCTCAAAAGCAACTTGGAACCTTCAACAGGTCCATAAGTACAACAGTGTGAGCAGTTATTCACATGCCACATGACTATGTGACACCCCTGCTCCATAACTTGCACGGGTTTTCCATTTTGCTCATTTTTTTTCTTTGTTAAAGTCTAGTACTATTGTTTCTCTCTTAATATTGTTTTTATATTGGAGGTATTATATCTAGCAGAGACATCTGGAGTTGGGTATCATAAAACCAAGCAAATAAGTGAACAGATATTTAGAGATGAAATTGTTTTCTTTTTGAATTTTTCAGTTGCCTTTTACCATTCTATATGTTTGTAAATAAGCAATCTTATACAATAACTTCACCTACTAAGCAACTGTAATCAGTATTCATAATTTACTGTCACAATGGAGTATATAAAGACAAAAATACATATCTTACCTGCGTATAATGTCCACATACACGGCTGCAATGATGGGTAGAAAAGGTATAGTAATTTACTTCACTATGAAATGCTCGAATTGGACCCTCGACATTAATTGGATTTCTGCTTGCACTTCCCAACCACATATTTTCTCCAGTTGGCTTAAACATACGATCAGGATGGTACCTTTGATTAGGATTATGTTTCCAAACACATTTATTTGCCCATGCTCTAGCAATTCTAGCTAAAGCTAAATCAAATGTCTGCAAAAGATAAAATTATCAGTTAAGCTTTTGATCATATTTATCTCCCTTAGTAAAAACACAAATATCAAACTGAGTCCCATCCAAATATTGATAGGAATTTCCATGCATTAGTTCATATAAAGAAAATTATTTTATTACATTCTGGAATTTTGCAGAAGATATAACATCTAAAACACTTTCAGAGATGATTCTTACTTATTTGTAATGTCTATATAAAAAGTTGATTTTGTATTTTTAAAACTATAAATATTATAAAAATAACATTTGTGCATAATAATAATACATAATATTTGTGCAAGAGAAAATTATATATATGCTTTGAATCACATATGTAGATACTGATTACATCAGTGATGTGCGGTGAGGTTTATGGCTGGTGAGGCACTGACACAGTGGTGGGTTTCAAAATTTTTTAGAC